GGTAGAGTGCCGTGACATCACAGCTCACAGCAATCTCCAACTCCTGGGCTCAAGCAAGTCTCCTGCCTCAGCCTCCCAAGTAGCTGGGGCCATAGGCGCTGGCCACAACGCCCGGCTATTTTTTGGTTGCAGCCATCATTGTTGTTTTTGGCGGGCCTGGGCTGGATTCGAACCTGCCACCTTAGGTGTATGTGGCTGGCACCTTAGCCACTTGAGCCACAGGCACCGAGCCGAAAGATGTTATTGATAAAAATTATACATATAATAAAAAACAAGTACATATCTGCACATATGCATGTACACACATAAATAAATGTATCTTTACATAAAAAATACAAATAGCCATACGTATTTGTGAAGGCATGAAAAGATCTGGAAGGCTACGTGGCTGACCTTTGTGCAGTAAAGGGTGAACTGAAGGGAAGAGCAGGGAGCTGGTAGGTAGTGAGGCATGAGACTTGCTTTTTACCTAAGACACGTCTGTGTTACTTGACTTTTTTCAAAACAGGCATATGTGATTTAGCACGTGAAATAAAAAAATAAAGGAGAGCTAAATAATCAATCACTAATTAACAACTGGCCAACAACCCCTACTGCATCCTCCCCCAACTTCTTAGTAAACCATCTATGAAGACACAGAAAAAAATGGAACTCATCCAAACTCTATATACATAACTCAATGCCGGAATCTGGACAGAATCTCTGTGGATCAGAGGGAGCTGGGGATAGAAGGATGTACCATACTTTGCTTCCCCAAAGGGGGACTCACTGAATAAAGATAAGAAGGTGTGTATCCTTTCCTTCCTGGAAATCCTTGAACAATTAGTGTCCACACAGAAATCTGAACTCTCCTTCTTCCTTGCAGTGGCTTATGATGGAGGCACGCACAGGTTGCCCTGGGTTCGCTCATCTGAACCACCAGCTTCTCCTTGCCCTTTTCCTTCCACTATCGTTCTATAAATGTACAGAAACATCTCACAGAATACATGAGCACTGAAAACATCCTGTGTGGTGTTGGGAGATGAAGAGCACCTGGCAATAATGTCTTGGATTCTCCCCACAAAGAGAATATTACAGATACACATAGAGACAGAATAATTCCTTGGAGGTGTGGATGCTAGGAATTGTAGTTTTCATGGTCAAAGCGTCAGATTCAGAGTACCAGAGAATCAGAGAAGTAAAAAA